TGACGGAGAACTGCGCAAGTATCCGCAATTTAAAAGAGATTTCCAGAAGCAAGTTATGACTCAAATCCGAAAAGGTGACGCAGCGTACGTCCTACGCACCTGTCTTAAGGGGGAGCCAGCGAGATTGGTGAACTGCGTAGACGACGACATAGACGAGATGTGGCATCGTTTAGACGACAAATATGGAGACCCAGCCAAAGTTGCCGATGTCATCATTGACGAAATAAAGCGATTTAGAATGCTCAGAGAAGGAGAAGATAAACGCTTTATAGAATTTGTAACCCTCATAGAGGATGGTTATCGTAACCTAAAAGGACACGGCTTGGAAACAGAGATCACGACCACAAGTTCAGTCAGCGTAATTGAGAAAGCACTCCCGTCAGATATCAAGCGGAAATGGTCCGAACGGGTAAGCTCTCGTGACCGTCTTGTTGATAAAAGCAACAAATTTCCAAGTCTTCTCGACTTTCTACAGAGTCAAAGGGATGCCATTGAATACGAAAGTGCTACACTCCGTGCAGGAAGCAGCAACCAATATCACAAGGGCGCAGCACATTACTCGGAGGGTATCACAGTTGGAAAAGACGAAAGTACCAAAGAACCTAGCCCTAAGTGTCTGATTCACGAGAATGGTAAGCGCTGGACGTCGAATTGCCGACTTTACCAAGCTAAGACAGTTGACGAAAAAAGGGATTTTCTCAAAGAAAAGCAAGCATGCTGGGCTTGTCTTAAGCCTGGTCACAGGCAGCGGACTTGTAGGATAAAAAGAGATTGCGGCGTGAATGGCTGCACGAGGAAACATCACCCATCAATTCACGAAAACGATGAAAGTACACCACAGCAAGCTTCTGCCTCCGCCAATGTATGCAGCGACTCCAACGTCGATACATGTCTCCTCCAAGTACAGAGAGTAAAAACCAGGAAGGGGACAGCTAATGTAATGTGGGACAACGCAGCTTCACTTTGCTTCATAACCAACGCCAAAGCGAAACAAGAGAAACTCAGTGGAGTCAAAGTGAATCTTTCAATAGTGAAGATAGGAGGGCAGAACGAGGAAATCGAAACAATGAAATACAAGCTACCACTTTTGGACAAGCGAGGTCAAGCCGTGGAATTCGAAGTATATGGGATCAACAAAATCACCTCTGATATCGAGGATGTAAACATAGAGAGCATCGCCCACCTATTTAGAAACGTTTCAAAGGATGAAATAGCGCGACCCGCTGGTCCAGTTGATGTGTTGATCGGTTATGAATACGCCGCCTTTCACCCGGAAAAGGAACAGAATAATGGGCATCTTGTACTACTGAAAAATCGTTTTGGAAGATGCGTTGGAGGAACTCACCCACTGCTTAAAGAAACGTGCATGACCCATAATCTTGGAAACGCGAGAGTACACTTTGTAGGCAAAGTCAATGTCGAAGATTTTTACACTATCGAGGCACTTGGTGTACAGTGCAAACCGAAGTGCGGGGGATGCAAGTGCGGAAAATGCTCCTTGGGCGCCAAAGATTATACCATAGAGGAAGAAAGGGAACTGGAGTTAATTGAGCGGAATTTACGTTTCAACAGTGAAGACAACTCATGGACCGCTGAATACCCCTGGATAAAAGACCCCCATAAGCTTCCTAACAACCGTAAAGTAGCGATGGCGAAATTAGCTGCTACCGAACGACGACTCAGAAAGAACGCAGATCACGCGAAAGTGTATGACGAACAGATAAAGGACATGGTGGCAAGAAATGTGGCAAGAAAGCTATCCGAGGAAGAATTAACAAACTACACAGGCCCTACGCATTACATTGCTCATCACGAAGTACTCAAACCAGAATCGAAATCTACTCCAGTCCGTATAGTTTTCAACAGCAGTGCGAACTATATGGGGCACGTATTAAACGAGTATTGGGCAAAGGGTCCTGACTTGCTCAGTAACTTGTTAGGCGTCTTGATACGCTTTAGAGAGAACAGAGTTGCTTTCATGGGAGACATTAGGAAAATGTACCACACAGTGAAAACGTCGGAGTTAGACCAACATACTCACCGATTTCTTTGGCGCGACATGGATAGTACGAGAGAACCAGACACCTATATAATACAGCGAGTGTCATTTGGAGATAAACCGTCCGGCACGATCGCCACTGTAGCATTGAGAAAAACGGCAGAGATGATGCGCAAGAATTATCCGGAAGCAGCAGACATAATTCAAACCAACACTTACATGGACGATATCATCGAAAGCAAAGATAACATTGCACTGGCCCGTGACCTTAGCCAAGACATAGAGAAAGGAGGATTTCAAGTTAAAGAGTGGATATTCTCAGGAGATATTAACAAGCAAGAAGAAACGATCATGGTACAGACACCGCATACGTCGACCGAAAAGATACTTGGGATCAAATGGAATCCATGTGAAGATCAGCTATGTTTTGAAGTCAAGATCAAGTTCTCACCAAAAGGAAAGAGACATGCTTTTCAAACAAATAACGTAACCACAGATTTT